TAAAAAAAAATTCCGAAGAACTAACTTAATAATTATTTCTGTTATTTTAAATTTCGAAAATATAAAAATTCTAATTTATATAATAATTAATACTAAATATTTTATTTTTAAAATAATAAATTAAAGCTGGGCTAAAATCTATTAATTATTATTATATTTTTTAAAAATTTATAAAATAATTATAAAATTTAATAATTAATAAAAAAAGTCAGACTGTATTATTTATTATATTTATATAATTTTAAAAATCTATAATTATATTAAAAAATATATTTTTTTAATTATTTATTTTACTTATTATTTAATTATTCTTAGTTTTTTATAGCTAAAGATCTATAACTTTTATATTAGTTAATTTATATATATAATCTAGTTTATCAGCTAGTACTATTAGAATTATTATAATATTCTATTAAGATTTTAGAAAATTAAAATATTATATAATATATTAATAAAAGCTTATTCTAAAAATATTATATTTTTAAGAATTTTAAAAAAAAAAAATATTTATTTAATCTTATTAATTATATATATTATCTACACGTGCTGTAATTATTTAATATTTATAATAATAATAAATTAGATTAGTAAAGTTTTAAAGTCTATTAGTAAGCCGAAAGAACTAATTTTATCTAAAAAATTTAAAAATTTTAAAAATATTTTTTTTTAAAAAAACTAAAAAGCTACTATTATACTAAAAGTATAATTATATTATTATTTTAAAAAATAGAAAAAGTCTATAATTCAGTTTTTTATATAAAATATTCTAAAATAAATTATAAGTTTTAAAAAAATAATTTTTAAAAAATCTAAAAAAAATTTATTTATTTTAGCTTATTATTAGTTGTTTCTTTAATATTATTTATAAAAAAATCTAAAAAAATCTAAGATTCTATATTAATTATTATATTTTAAATATTATTTTTATAAAAAATAAATACCTACTTCCGCTTATAAAGAAAATTTTAAATAATCTAAAAAAGATAAAATATTTTATAAAAATTTATATTATTAGTATATTTAATAATATTAGAATTAAAAAAACTAAAAATATTTTATAATATTTTAAATCTATTTAAAATTATATAAAATATTTATAATATTATTTAGACTAACCGGAGTCTTTGTTATATTCTAATAATATATTAATAATATTTTAAAAAATTATTTTAATATATTTTATATTATTTATTTAAATAATATTCTAATTTATAGTTATATTTATAAAAAATACTTTAAATATATTCTCTGTATTTTATAAAAGCTAAAAAAAATAGAATTTTATATTAAAATATTTAAATATAAATTTATTATATTTAAAACTAAGTTTTTAAGTCTGATTATAAACTATAAAAAGTTTTATATAAATCTAAAAAATTAGAATTATAACTGAATAGTTTATATTAACTAATATAATTAATATATAAGTTTTTTAAGCTTTTGTAATTTTTACTACTGATTTATTTATAATTTTTTAAAACTAACTATTCTAGTTATATATTTAATAAAAAAAAGTTTTATTTATATAAATTATAAATTATTAAAAAGTATTTAACAAGCTTAAAAATATATTTATTAAAATATTAGTTTTTTAATTATTTAATTAGATTTATAATATTATTTTAAAAACTAATATTTTTAATTATATATTAAAAAAAATTCTATCTTAGTATAATAATAATAAAATATTATATTTTATTATATATTTTTCTAAAAAATATACTTTTATTAAATATAATTATAAGATTTATAATAAAGAATTATTTATTATTATTTACTGCTTTAAAAAATAATACTCTAAGTTAAAAAAAATATTTTTTTTAATTTAAATTATTATTAATTATTATAATCTAAAATATTTTATATTTATTAAGCTTTTTAATTATTCATATATTTAATAGTCTGAATTTTTATTATATTTTAATTTTAAGATTATTTATAGATTTAAAAAATATAAAATTAAGTCCGACAGTCTTATTAGAAGATTAAATAATTTTTAAAAAAAATAAATATTTACTATACTAAAACTAAGTAGTTTTAAAATAAAAAAATATTAATTTTATTTATTTATTAACACCACCCCCGACTCTACTAAAAAGTAAAAATAATAAAAAGAAATTCTAAAAAAAATTCTAAAAATATATTAAAAATAAAATTAATATTTATTTTATATATTTAAAAAAATATAATATTTAAAAATAAATAAGACTTACAACTCCCGTCTAAAATATATAAATCTTTCTATATTATATATAAAAAAAATAAATAAATTAAAAAAATACTAAAAATTCTAGCTATGAATAAAAACTATTACTTAGATATATTACTAGTATTATATAAAAGAAAAAAAACTTTTTATTTTATAAAAATTAATTATAAATATTTAATAATAAATAGATTAAAACTAATCTAACTAGACTAGTCTTTAATAAATCTATTTTTAAATATTTTAAAAAAATTTATATATATAAGCTTCTAATCTAAAAATACTATTAGCCTAATATCTATTAATATATAGAATAATAAATAAAAAACTATTCTATCTACTAAAAAGTAATCTTATTTAAAAAAGTAAAATAAGAAATTCTAAAATTCTTATTAATATTTAAATAAATATAATAAAATATATTTATAAATCTTATTATATATCTATGTAAAAACTAAAGCTATAATACTATTTTAATAATTATTAATTATTTAATAAAAATAAAATATTTGATTTTTTATAATTTAACTGCTAATACTACTACTATTATAATAATATATATCTAATATATATAAAAATTATATAGTTTATTTTAATTTAATTTTTAAAATAAAAAATTCTAATTTATTTCTAAATTTAAAAAATATCTAATTTAATAATTTAATATTACTAGTAAACTTTTTATAATATATTATTTAAAGACAGACGGCTAGACTAAAAAAATTAATATAATATTTAAATAATATTTTTAAACTTATATAAACTATTTATAAAATAATTAAAACTAATAATTTTTTTAACTAAATTTATACTTAATATAATTTATTTTAATATTATTGAAACTATTTTATTTTTTATAAATTAGAGTTTTTATTTTTATATAAATTTTAAATTTATTATTATTCTAAATAGTCTAACTACTAGAGATATAAACTAAATTATTATAAAAATATAAACTATTATTAAGTTTATTAAAATAAAAATATTTACTATTTAAATCTATTATATAAAATAAATAAATCAATAATATAAATTAGTAAAATAATTTAAAAAAAAACTAAAAAATATAATTAGATATTTATAATATTAAAATATTAAGATTTAATAAAAAGCTTAACTAAAATATTCTAAAATTATATAAAATTAAAAAAATTATTAGTTTATATATTTATTAACTAGTTTTATTTTTTAATATAAAAATATATTTTATATTTAATATTAATTTGTTTATTTTTATTAATAAAGAACTAGTTTTAGATTAATATTAACTTTTATTATTATATATAAAAGTTAACAGTTTAAAAAAATAAAAAATTAAAAATATTTTTAATTTTATATAAAATTATAGAAAATACAGCTGCTTTTAACTAATATATATTATAAAATAGATTAAATATCTAAATCTAACTATTAAATTAGTCTAGTATTTAAAAAATATTTATTAAATAATTAAGAATTTTTACTATTATTATTTTAATAAATTATAATCTATATTTTAATAAAGCTCAGTTTTAAAAAAAATATATTATTATAATATAAATCTAATATATTTATTTTATTTATTTAATTTATTTTATTTTTTTAATTCTAATAATCTTATTATTCTTTCTAATTATTTTATATATAATATATAAAACTTTTTAATTTTTTATTTATTTTTAATTCTGTTTATATCTTTTTAAGCTATATTTTATTTATAAATCTAAAAATAATCTAATCTAGTAGTTAATAAAGAATTTAGAAAAACTATTATAAAAATTCTTTTAACTAGTATTATTATTTCTATCATCTAGTCAGACTAAGAACCAGATGCCAGTCTGCTTTTTAACAAATAGAAACTATTATTGTTTTGAAACTGTGGGGGTATATCAGACTAAAAAATTATTTAAATATTAAAATTCTAAGTTCTAGTCTTCTTAATTTAATTATCTAAATAAAAATTATTATTCTAGTTTATTTTATTTACTCTATTTCTGTATTCGTATTTCTGTTTATTAAATATTTCTAGTTTCCTATTTAGAAAATTAGTAAACAAAGAAAATGGTTTAAATAATCTAATATTTCCTATTATTTTTATATAATTTAGTTTAGTTCTATTAATTAGAATTATATATTAAATTTACTATTCTATTTATTTTCTTATTTATTTAATCTTTAATTCTTCTGATTTTATGATTCTTTACTTTAACTTTACTTTCACCTTACTTTTACACATAATTTATATGGAAAAGTAAAAGTTAATTAAACCTTATCTGAAAGAACCGAAACTCCAACAAAAACTAATTCTATTTATTAATAATTTTTATAATAACTAGTTAGAATTATTATTAATAATAGACTTTACTGCAGTATATCTGTTATATATATTTCTTAAAATATTTTTATTTTAAATAAAGTATAAATACCAGCTTGAATTATTTTTTAATTAAAAATTTTTAATAAATATTAAATAAAAAATTATAAATATTACTTATATTTACAATACTATAATCTGTTTTAAAAATATTTAAAAATTTATTAAAACTAATATTACTAACTTTTAAAAATAATAAGCTATATAAACTAACTATTATTAAAAGAAAACTTTAATCTAAGCTGAAAATAGAATCTATATTAATTATTTTAACTAGAACTAGAAATAGTTATTTAAAAAACTAATAAATAGATAATATAATTTATATAAAATTTTAAAATAAAAAAATATATATTTTAAGTAAAACTATTAGCTAATATTAAAATATATTTAATATTTTATTCTAAAAAATTTTAATCTATTTTAATAAATAAACTACTGCTAGATTAAATCTAGAACTAAATAAAGTTAATAAATATAAATAAAAATATAAAATATAAAATAAAAAAAAATTCTTAATTTTTATATATATTAAAAATATCTGATATATTATATTAAATAGAAAAACTCGGATAAAGCAGATTTATTATAATATTTAATAAAAAATCTAAAAAAAATTTTTATATTTTTAAAAAAAATTTATAATTCTTATTCAGAGAGCTTCAGTCTTTTAAAATATTTAAAAATCTAATTAAAAATAGCTATAAAAAAGTTTTTAATTTTAATTATTTTAATAATAATTTTATTTTAGATTCTATAGAATATCTGCAGTTTATCATTATATTATAAAAATAATAATAAAAAAAGATTATAAAAATATTTTTTATCTAAAAATAGTTAAAACTAATTTAGGGGATAATATAAGAATTATATAAAAAATATTTAAATAGAATAATAAATTAAGACTAGTTTAATTTATTTAATCTTTTTATTTTATTTATACTATATTTAAATAATATAATACTGTGGGAAATATAGCTATTTTTCTTTTTTTTTCTTTTTATGCTTAAGATTTGGTTTAAATAATACTATATTAATAAAATTCAGTTGGTTTGATCGGCCATCACAATATTTATTTTTAAGAATCTATAATAGCGGCGGCGGCGGCGGCTTTTTAATATTAGAACTTTTTAAAATTAAGCCAATAATTTAAAAACTTAGTAATATTAATAATATTAATAAAATTAGTATTATATTTAGAAATATTATTAATTTTTTTTAATTTTAATTTTTTATTTTTAAATATCTTAGTTTTATAAATATATATATAATATATTAAAGCCTATTTATAAATAATAATAATAACAGCTTTAATGAATATAATAATAGCAGTAAGTATAAAAATTTATATAAATAATTATAATATTTTAATATTAATTATATTAGTTAGATTATACTATAAATAAAAAAGAAAAATAGTAGAAAAAAGAATATAAAAATAATAAAAATATAAATATTTAGAATTATAAAAATATTATTTTTAAATAAGAATTTATAACTAGCTGTATCAGCAGTAGTAGTAATAGTTTTTTTTTTATAATACTGTTTACAGTCTTTTTTTAGCTATATTATTATTAGTAATTTTTAATAAAACTAAGTTATAGTATATATTATAGTTTATTTATAGTATAGAAAATAGTATAATATTTTATTATATATAATATAATTAATAGAATTTTTATTAAAAAAGTTCTAAATATTTATATAGCTTTTTTAAAATTTTTAATTATGTATATAATATAAGTATTATTTATTAGATATATTTATAGATTTATTACAAAGATTTCCTACTATTTATTCTAATATAAATATATAGTTAAACTAAAAAATAAAAAAAATAATTAGATTATAATATTTTAATTTATAATAAGAGTTTATAGCTATAAAAGTTTATATTATTAGTATAGAAAATTTTTAAAAGCTTTTAAATATAAAAACTAATAGCTATTAAATTTTTTTTAAAAAAATATAACTATAATAATAATAATAATAATAATAATAGTAATATTAATAATAATAATAATAATAATAATAGTAATATTAATAATAATAATAATAATATTAATAATAGTAATAATAATAATAATAATAATAAAAAGCTGATTATAGTAGATTTTTTTAAAATAGCCGCAGCCGCGATTTATAAATATAAAAAAAATAAAAAATAAAGTTTTATGATTTTATATTTAGTTAATTATAATTTTTACGCTATAGTATATATTTTAGCTTAATTATTAGCTGTATTAATTAATTATTAGAATAATTATTTATTATATTATAAATAAATAATTTAGTATTTTAACTAACTATTTAAAACTATTTAAAATATATATAATAGTAGAAAAATAGTATAATAAATCTAAAATAGTTTATAAAACTTAAAACTTATTAATCTAAGGCTTTTTCAAATAAAAAATATATAAAATAATAATAATAATAGTAGTAGTAAGAATATTAGCATATATATGTTAATTATATTTTTATTTTTAATTTAATAATAAAATATAGATTATTTTACTATTTTTATTTATACTATCTTCTATACCGCCTTCCCGTTCTGGGCCTGGAAATAGCCCCGAGCGTAGTAAGGGTTACTAAGGCTTGTATAAATATATTAAAAAATCAGTCTATCAGCGGTTTAGAATAAACTTATTTTTTTTAGCTGTTTATTTAAATTAGATAAATAGAGATATTTAGACTGGACCGGATAATAAAATTATAAGATTTAAAAATTCTAAAAATAAGATTATTTACTAAAAACTACTTTTCTAAAATAGTAAAAAAATAAATAGTATCTTAGAAATAAGCAGATATAAAAGTTAGATAATAATAAATATAAAAAATAAATATAAAGATTTAAAAATAAAAAATAAATAAATATAGTTTATAATATTTTAATATTAGATTTAGAATAATTTTTAATAAATTAGTAGTTTAATTTATAATAAAAATATTTTTAGTATTTATAATAGTTGGTTTTTTAATAAAAAAACTAATAATATATAATAAACAGATTTATAGAATTATATTTAAAAATGATAAATTTTTATAAATAATTTTTATTTTAAGATTTTAGTTAATTTTTTAAATTATAAAATATTAGATTAATAAAAAGTTTTTAGAAGTAGTTATAAGCTTTAATACTATATTATAAATAATAGTTATTAAAAATTTAGAAAAAGTAAATTAGATTATAATAGTCTTTTTTAAAAGAAATATTAGTTAAGAATATATTTTTAAAATTTTTATTAATATAGTTTTCAAGTATAAAAAAAATATCCGGATATATATATATACTTTTTAAGCTAAATATTTAAATTTAATAAAAAATATTATAAAATTATAAAATTCTTATTTTAATATAATTTATTATATATAGTTTTAATATAATTAGAGTTGCCAAAAAGTATTTAAATAATTATAAAATATTAATAAAATTATTTAAATTATATTTTTTATTTTTAATATAAGATTAAATTTAAATATATAATATTTTATTTCAGCAGCTGGTTATATATAACTTCTAGATAATAATAATAATATATTAGTTAATATTTATATTTATTTTTTTTAATTTAAAAAATAAATTAGTAGAGATTAGAACAATTATTTTTAAATTTATTAAAATTAAATAAATATTTATAAAAAAAATAAAAATAAAAGACTTAGAATTAATTAATATAATTAATTTATTAAAACAGCTATAGTATTTTTAGTAATAAATATAGATTTTAAAATGTATATAAAAATATTTATTATAAGATTAATAATTTAAATAGCTTTAATATATTTATATCAGATTTAGTCTTTTTTTATAATAATCTTATAAATAATAATAATTTCGGATAATAGCTGGATTATTTTAATTTTTTTTACTAAATTTAATTAGATTGGAATATAAATAGAGTTTTTTTTAAAATAAGTTAGTTCTAAGTTTTTATAGTATATATATAAATCTGATTATAATAATTATATTATTTTTTAAAATATTTATTAATATATTAGATAAACTTTTTTAAATTATTTAGTATAGCCGAAGATTATAGAATTATTAATATTTTGTTAAATCTACTATTTTTAAAGATAGAAGTTATATAATATTAAAAAATAAACTAATATTTAGTTATTAGTCTAATTAAATAATAGAAATAATAATATTAGTTAGAAGAATCTTTATAATAGTTTTTCTAAATTTTTTATTAGTTATTAGATTAGATTATTCTTAGATTTATAAATAAGATATAGCTTAAAAAACTATAATAAAATTAAAAATAAACAGCTACTTAAAAAGATTATAGATTATATATAAAACAGTTAGTATAAATAATTAGATTACCGGAAAGAATTAGATTAAATAAGCTCAATAGATTAAACAGATTAAATAGGTAGAATGGGTGTGTTAGGTCTGCACTGTGATATATACTGTAGCTAAAAGATTTTTTATATTATAATTATAGAATTTATAAACTTTATTTTTTATATATAAAAATAAATAGATTTAATTATAACAAAATATTAAATATTTATTTATATTTATATTAATAATATAGTTGCTGTATTTAGATCTTTCTAAAAATATTATAAATATTTATATTTTTTATTTGATAAGTTTAAAAATATTAATGTTAAGTTAAAACTAACTAAAGCTTTTATTATATTTCTGTTTATTATATTATTAGAATAATATATTAATATATTAAAATTTATTATATTCAAGAAAAAGTTTAAAACTATTTATATTTTTTAATTTTTATAGATTTTTACTAAGCTTAAATATTATTTTGGTCTAACTGATTAATTAAAATATTATATTAGTTACTATATTTAAAAAACTATTTTTTTATAAAATTATAAGATTAAAATATTTAACATATATTTTTTTAGTTATATATCTAGCTGTTACCGGTCTTATTAGGATTATATATTTAAAACTATTATTTTTAATATAATTAAAAAAAATATTAAGTATGTAAAATATTATAAATAGAATTTAAATTTTTAAATTTTTATTTATTTTAATTTAAATATTTAGTTGTATATCGATCTTAATACTTTATATAATATATATAAAATTATAATCTACTATTTTAAAAAAGATATTAAAAATAATTATATTAAAAATAATAAAAAAATATCTAAGTTAATCGACTCTAATATTTCTAAAGATGTCCTATTTTTAGAAATGAAAATATCTTATTTAAAAATCCGAAGTCTTAAAATATTAATATTAGATTATTAAAGCCGTCTGTTTATATATAGATTTGACTAATACTATTTTTAAATAGAATATTTATTTTTATTAAATAAAATTATTAATTTATTAAATTAGAAGTCTTTTATTTTATCTAGAACCTGTATAAGCTGTATTATTTTATTTAAATATTTTTAAAATCTTTTATTATTTATATTAATTATATAAATATAATTAGTATCTTAAAGCAGATACTTTTTAATATTATTATTATTAAATAGTTAAATCTATATTATATCTGTATAAGTTAATATATCTAATAATTTAATATTCTTATTTTTTATTATATTAAATATACTAATACTATTACTAATATATTATTATATTTTTTTTCAAAAAAAATTTTTATATTTTGAAGTATAATTTTAAAAATATTTTAGTTAATATATTTTCTGCTTAAAAGTTTTTTATCTAAGTATTTATTATCTAGCTGGATAAAGATTTTAAAAAATAGATTCTTAACAGTTATATTATAAATGTATAAATAAATAAAATTATTAATATTTTATAGTCTAATTCTAATATATTTTTTTTATAATAACTTACTTTATATAAATAAATATAACTATATTAGTATTAAAAATATCTTTTAGAGCTTAATAATTTGGCTATCTATAAAAATTAAAAATTATTAAAAAAGTATATTTTTTATTATTTTATTTATTAATATAATAAGATCTAGAAATATAAGTTTTATAATATACTTTAATATATTTCTATTTTAGCTTTATTTTATATTATTATTATAAATTTTATTATAGATTTATTTAAAATATTTATGACCGGCTATAATTAGTTTTCTATTATAATTAATAAATTTATTAAATATATTAGCTTACTTTTTAATATTTTTATATAAAAAGCAGACTAATAGAGACTTATTATTGTTAAATATATATAATCTTATAATTAAAATATGATTTTTTTTATTTCTAATTATAATATATAATTTATATTAGTATTTTAAAAAAATCTATTCTTTAAGATAAAGTTAAAATAGTTTTATTTAACTACTATCTGTTTTTAAATTAATAAAGAGTCTAAATAAATAATTTAAATTATTAAAATAATAATATACTATAATATTACCTAGGCTCATCCTAGTAAAATTGGACTTTGGTTTATTCTTTTTTTATTAATTATTTTAATAATAAATTTTTTTATTAATATATTTATAAATAAAATCTTTTATAAATTAATATTTAGTATTTTACTATATTAGTTCCAGTATTTTATAAAATTTATTTTATAATATATTAAGTATTCCGGTCCTACTAAAATTATTTTTAATATTCTATTTAATATCTTACTGTCTTTAGTTTTAGTAAAACTAAAAATATATTTATATATTAAAATTACTATTTTTAAATATTTTATAAATGTTTATATTATGTAAAACTTTTTATATTAGTTTAATACTAAAAAAGCCTTAAAATTTATATTTATATATATAAACAGATATTATAATATTAAATATAAATTTATATATTTTAATATTAGTAATTTTATTTATTTTTGATTATATTATAGATATATTATTCTATTTATTTAGAATATTAAATAAAAGTTTACTTAATAGTATATAGGTTTGTTTAAGATTTTTAAAATTATTAGTTACTATATATATTATCTAAAATTACTATTATTTTAATTAATTTATTTAGTAATATTAATTATTTAGTTTAAGCCTGTATTTATAAATATTAATTTTTTAGCTGTAAATTATCTGTGTTTTTTTATATTATTAATAAAAGATTTCCTAATAAAATTAACTGTTAAAAAGTTAAAATAATTATTAATAAATATATAATATATTATAGCTGATACTATATATTTATTTTATAATATTTAATCTATTAGTTCAGATATGGTTTTAAGAATAATTAGTAGATTAAAACTATTAATATTACTATTAATAAGTTAGTTTTAAAAATATAAATATTATTATTCATAATAAAAATTGTGTCTGTTGGTTTTAATATCTTAAAATTATTATATTTTTATTTTTTTAATAAAATCAAATCCTAGTATTTCTATATTATATATTTTTATATATTTTATTTTTTATATATTTAGTATTTTCGATGTAAATATTGTTTTTAAAAAATATTATATATAATAATTCAAATTAGTAATATTAATTCTGTTCTGTCTTTCCGCCTTAGCAGCCTTTTATATATGGAAACTTCTGTCTTAGTTTATTTAAGAAATAACTAATTTAATAATATTAACTTCTACTATATCTACACTCATCGGCTACAACTGTCATATTAATCTAAAATATTTTAAATAAAAATATATTTTAGATAGTAAGACAGTAAGAACTAGAAAATTTAATAAGAATATAAAAAATAATAAAGAAAGAAATATTCTAAGAATTAGTCTGTTTAAAAAATAGAAAAATATTTTTAATATAAAACTAATAAAAAATATATTTTAAAATATAGAATAAGATGTTTTGAATAGATATAATATAAATAGAACTTACTAATAATAATGATTCTAATCTAATATTAAATATTTTGGATGATTTATTAATATTTTTAATATTTTTAATAATTAGACTAAGAATCGGTTATTTCGAAGATTATATTGTAAAAAATAAGAAAAATAATAAATAATAAAAATAATCCGACCAGTATATATAAGACAGAGAATATAAAAAGAAATAAAAATATAAAGAAAAAAATAGATAAATATATTATTTGATATAAGTATATTTAATTAAATAGTTTATTAGACTTAATAAGATTATTTAAAAGATATTAAAAATAAAAATTATAATTCTAGTCTATATAAGATTAGTTAATAATAAGATAATTAGTTTAATTTAAAAAATTAATAAGACTTTTATAAAAAATAAACTAATTAATATTTTAAGTTTATAAATATGATTAGTATTTTAAAAATAAGAATAATAGTATTGAAACTTAAATATAGTAAGTATAATATAATATATTTTTATTGAAATATTTTTTAAATATACTAAATAAATTTCTATAAAATTAAATAATTTAATAGGCTTATTCTAATATCAGCAATACTATAAAAATAAGAATATAATTAAATTAAAATTTATAAATATAATATATATAATATTAAAAATATAAAAATAGATACAGATATAGAAAATAAAATAACAAGAATAAATAAATAAAAATATTAATATAAAAAGAAATTAGAACAGTCTAAAATATAGTAGATAGAAATAGAACTAATATATTAAAGTAGTAGATATAATAAAAAATAAATTTGACTAGAATAGATATATATATAAGTTTAACTAACTAGTTAAGTAATTAAAATAAAACTTAATAAAATCTAGTAATCTATAAGTAAAAGTAGAATAAGATTTTAGAAAGATAAAATATGTAGTAACTGATAGAATCTGCAAGTATAAGATATGAAAAAAAAGAATAATAATATTAAAATAGAATACTTATAATAATTAAAATAAGAAAAAAATATAAATATAATAAGAAAGCTGATATTTTCTTAAAAATATATAAAATATATATCTAAATAATCAAAAGATATACTATTATATATAAATATTAATATAAATAAGAATAAGCTTTATAATATTAATTATTCTTAGTATTAATAATAAAAAAAATCTATAGAATTCTTAAGATGCCAAAGTTTTGCTGCTAAGACAGTCAGAAAGGCGGAGACAGGACGGAAAGCAGAATATTGTTATAGATAAACTTCCGAATATTATAATTATTATACTAAATAATCTAATTTAAAAAAAATTTAATTATTACATAATATTCTTTATTATAATAGTTTATATCTATAGTCAAAATAGTTTATTTTTAGATTAATACTAATTTACTAGGCTTTTAATTTGGATATTAATATTATTATATTATCTATTTTTCTATATAATATATTTGTCTATAATTCTACAAAGAAGAAGGTTTTTAAATAATTAATTTTAAATTAATAAAAGACTATTTTAACTACTTTTATCTTGTCTAATCACCATATTTACTGCGTCAAGTAGTTTCTAACACCGGTTGTCTAATATCTTATCTGTTGGCTTGGATGTAGTCTAGAAGATAATATAAAGATACATATATCTAATATTACTTAAAACAACTTGATTAAAAAAATTAAGAATTATTATATATAATTTTTGTTTCTTATATCGTACTATTTTCTGTGTTTATATTTTCTAGATATATTATTTTTGTATTTAATACATCTTTGTATCTTAGACTGCTATAACTTTACATTCTTACATCTTTATAGTTTTTCTACATCCGGTGTTTCAAGCTTAGTTTATTTTCCAGATTATGATATATCTTAATATCGGTCCTGTCGACTAATTTATATATGTAACTTCCGAGGATGTGAGTCTTGAACAGCGGTATCTGTGGTGTATATTATGTATAATAATATTCTGCTGCTCTCTCTTGCAGCCGTCTTTTTAACCGCCTCTGGCGGCAGAACTTCGTCTTGATCGATCCTCCGGTTCTTCGTCTTTTCAATCAATCCAATACTTATCCATGAAATCGTCTTCCATTACACATACAGCTATTATAATACTTAATTCTAATATTATACTGGTATGGCTAGATATAGAAGTCTGCTGGTAGCTTATAAACTAGATATCTCATGTAAGTTATTATGTTTTGATATTTGAATGTGCCAATAAAAGTAAACACTGAAGCTAGTATTGATCAACCAACACTACCTAACATAAGCTCAAAGCCAGTTAAGCTGTGCCTTGGTGTTTGATATTCCAGGTTGTCTGTTTGACTGACCATCAGATTCCAGACTCTGTGTTTCTCCAGCAGCAGAGCTTTTCTGCGATGTTTGCACAAACTCGACAAGGGTCTTAAACCAGAAATCAAGCTTCCCACTCTCGATATAACGTGACACCAATAGGTTTTCTCTCTCAAGGTCCCGACGATTGTGCGCTCGCCGTTCTGGGCTCAGCCGAGCAGTGAGACGGTCTAACTCCGAGTCGCTTAAAATGACATCTTCCGGAGCCCGAGGGATGTAAAGTGTGGGTTGGGAAAGGTCCGCACTCAGTCCTAAATAGCATAGTCAGCGAGTAAGCTAACGCATAAACACATGCCTCCCAGAGTAAACCTACTATCGTTGTGACACCAGGCGAGAGTTCGAGCAAGCGAGGTACCATGCAGAACATGTTCAAATTCGCTTCCTGATTCTTCGGCAGTCTTCCCAGTTGCAATCCAGTCATCACTGATCATGCATCTCTTCCATACCAATTTTTGCAAGATGGCATACAACTGCGGATCTCGTTGGGCATAATGACTCAAACGTAAGACACGCAAAGCCAGATAGTCCTCCTTCCCCACGATTTCTTCCTGGTCGTTGCTCGGAGTCTCAGGAATTCTTGCCAGAGTCAAGAAATCCACCAACTCATCAACATTCATCACTTGACGAAACACCACTTTAGTAACTGCCTCTTTCATGACCTCATAAAGCGACGGCGTGTCTTGCAAGACGCCCCGCCCAATGCTTGAAACAGCTATTTCAACTTTGGCTTTTTCGTCAATCGCGCATTCTAAGTTCGGTGTAACGGAGGCGGATATAAGCTCCTGCACAGCATCTATTTCTGCAAGGTCCTCTAGACGCTTAACATCTCTTTGGTCCACCAAACCTTTGGGCTGGGATGACTGCTCCCAGGCTGCCAATGTCACGAGTTTAGCCATAGATAACTCCACTCGGTGACCCCATAAGTCTGATTCCTGTTCAAGGGCCAGCTTTTCTAGGGAACAAGCAACCCTGTCGTAGTCATTCTCACCAATCACATCATTGATCCAAGAGAGCCGAGAGTATGTTGAGTGACTGCGTAGGAATTGGGTGACATAAGGCTGGAACTTCTTCATCGCGAAGAGGACTCCTGCCTGTCCCAGAGATATTTGTCGCGAAAAGAATGCCTCAGCCCATGAGTCTCCAAATCTCTCGAAATAACCTGATATCTTCTTGCTTAGTTGATCCGAAGCATTCGCTAAGCCCCTGGTTGTGTTGCTCGGAGAATGAGGCGGGAGATTCTGACCCCTAGTCTGGTCTTGAAGCTCAATTATCAACTCCACTAGTGCTCCCATATCCCGGAAATCTTCTGCTAGTTTGATTGCTTCCTCCAGGTGACCGATTCCGGCGAGTTTGAAAAGCTGCCATTTGCGCTGCTTGACGTGTGTGTGTTCGACGGCGATCCCTTCATCAACCAATTTCGGGTCTTCTTGGGCAGCAAGCCAACGAACCCGCTCCCGGTGTATTTGACCGAAGATATGGAACTGTCTGGCACCGTTTGTCGCTATTCTCGCCAAGATGTCATTTCCCGGTATATCGGCCGAGCCTGCTCTCTGCTGGAGCCAGACTCTGCAGGTGTCGAGCTCGAGATCCAACAGGCGTACGCTCTCGACATATCCAATGCTTCGGGATGTCCAGAACTCCCGGAGACCCTTGTAATTACCTGTCAATACCCCATCCTCCACATAGCCATCGATGATTCCGTAGCGACTAGCATGCTCGTCTCTATAGTGATACGCTGTTTCTAGAACGGCTAGTGACAGCTCGCTGGCGCCTAAGAGCTTTTCTGCCGCCTTCCAACTCTGCTTCAGGTTACTGCCTTTTTGTGATTTGACCGAGTGGTAGATCCAGGGCACGATATTTTCCATTTGAAAGGTATCGTGGAGGAACCAATGACGGACCGGGTCACTATCACTGTTTCGTTGCGTCTTGAATCTTTCACTCATTGATTCTAGTATGTCAGCCAGCAGCGTTTGACCTTTACCGTTATGCTTTCGCCAACACTCTTCAAGCTTCCAGACAGCTCTTTGAGCTGCGATTTTCTCCGCGCCCCAGAGCATTTTCCACCAGACCAAGCGACTCAAAGCCTTGTGCTGTTGCATCAACAAAGATGAAAGATCATCAAGAGCCTTTGCCCGCAACCTTAGATTCTGATCCACAGTAATAAAAGTCGTCGGTATGTATCTCGAAGTTGAATTCAGTATTTCATTGGTCACCTCTAGGGCAGCCTCTTCAACCTCCTCTAGGGGGAACCCTAAGCCCTCCTTGTTTGTCAGGTCCAATGGACTTTCCATGATGGTTCCATAAAAGATCGCTTGCTCAATCCTATGCTTTGCAGTGATGTAAGTATTCGCAGCGCTTGTCGCCTCTTGATTGCTAGCCAAGGCATTGATTCGGAGGATGCCAAAGCCCCGAACCATAATCAAACACGCAGGCTCTGTCCTTTCGGTAGTCCGATCCTCACATCCGCTACCCAGGATATCGTACTGTTGCCCAGATCGCAGATTGATGATATCGTGAAATGCTCCTGCTCCTCGATTGCTGTCCGGTGTAGTCCCATCCAGGTGTTCCTTTCCATTTGAAAGTGACAGCAAAATGATTGACTGTCCGACCACGAGAAAGCCCATATTACCTGAGCTAGGAACAAAAAGCTTGATTTGATTCGCTTCGAGATGTGGCAAAGAACCACGATGCTTTATCGCAGTACTAGACAGTATCTGAGCTTCTTCGGAGAGCCTCAGGTTGAGAACGTATAGGTCTTGTGAGCTTGCCGCAGTCGTGGCCACGACAACCAAGATATCCCACGTGTTGGACTCGCTACTCGAACCATGATGGGCGTTGGAATCGGCGCCGGCAAACACGAAATCGAAAATTTCGATGTTACCCTCTTCATGCTGAAATGAGTTTTCGCTCAGCGCATCCGAAATTATATTCCTAACATCGAACTGCTTCTTAAGCAAGCTTCCGTTATTCCAATGAGTGTCCCAGATTTCAAAGGAACCCGTGGTAGTGGCTATGATGACTTCTCTCTGTCCTCGCTGATGCGATTGACCTGCTTGGACTGCCGCAATGTCTTTCCTCCAGTACCCTCCACCAAGAGCATTTCTTAGCCCCCCAAGGAAGCCTATTTTAGCACCACCAGAGGGGTTTTTGAGAAAACTAGCCGTTACGGCCGGCTTGCCTTGGGGATCCCTCACGGTAACGTGAGCTACTCTACCGGTGGAGAATATCACGATAACTCCAGATGGCTCACAATTGATAACATCAGTAGCATATTCACCAGAGAGGAGGCCATTGATGCTTCCCTGCAGGCCACACAGTTTCTGCCTGGTATATCCGAGTGATGTGGCGCTCGTTATGGTTTCCCAGTACAGTATATGGCCACTGCTTGGTGTGACAACGACTAGTCCCGGCAAGCCGCCTGTTGCTGCTGACAGAAGATGTCCAAGAGGTGCTGCATCATTGGAGCCCCTGCATAATTCTGGGAGGGGTATAGTTAGAACCTCCGTATTCTGTGGCTGAGGATCCTCAGAATATGGCCAAATTATTGCATGAGACCTTGTCAAAGCCAGTGCCAAACCATAACCCCTTCCAAAGACAACTCTGTAAGGTTCTGCATATCCCGTCAATAAATGTAGTATGAGCGTAAACACGTCTGTGCTGACCTGATTGTAAGCCGGCGATCTGATCTGGAAAAGCTGGCAGCTGTTTAACACTGTAGAAATCTGTTTGTGACTGCAAACTTGAGCGTTAGTTAAATTGACTGTAGAAATGTGGCATGGGTGACAGACGAGGGTCACTGCTTCGGCAGTGTCTTGCTTAAAGCTTCCAGGTCTTTTGGCGGCTCTGATGGGTATTTCCTTCGCCGCGTCGGCGGGTGTGAGTCCTATATTTGAAAGATCGAGGTTTTCAGCAGCCAGAGATGGTTTTCGAGATGGGTTTCCGGTAGAAATTTCTACGGATGATTCAACGCTATCTTGACGTAGAGCAGAGCGCTGACGTTTCGCATTAGGCTGTTGCGCGGTCTCATCGGAGTTCGTACGCTGTCGTCTTCGGGGATTGCGCAAGGCGGCTGCTGGCCCAAGTGCTGCTTTTGGTACGAACATTGTTGAATCTCGATACGGAGTTAGAGCGAATAGAATCGCTTTCAGGGTGATTGAATCATGAATGTTCTGTGAGGTAGATATATGAGGATAGTGGTTCTAAAGCGCGAATCTATGAACTCGTGGCCGCGCTCATTATTGTCAATAACAACACTCGACATGTGTCGGCTGCGCGCAATTAAGTGCTGCCGACCCGAGGGCGGTCAGGCACAATTGCTCAGGATTTCTGCCTAGAGCAGCTTTGATTCGCACTCGATCATTCATTTGCGTAGAGTTGAATGAAGGACTACTATGACTGGTAGTATATGATTGTCATACACAAACCACATCGGAGCCGTAGATCGCTACATATTCTTTGGCCTATATTCTTTCAAAATATTGCCTGACGCATACATATGTCTACTGATAATAATACATACATAGGCAGCGAATCTTAAAGGTATAGCAGGCCCCCTTCCTTGATCTTGCGTTAACGTAATCGGTAAGCGAGTAGGCCGGGCAAGCAAGTAGGCTTCCTGGGTATTATATATAAAAGAGCATATTTTGAATACTTATAATTCTACCAGCTTTAATATAAACTTAATAAAAGTAATAGATTAGTCTTCTATACGGTTGTTCTATATATATACTAAGATCTTATTTATTCTAAAACTTTATTTATAAAAGATAATATAGAATATACTGTATTTTTGAAGTATTATAAAGATACTGGTATATAATAGCTTATACCTCATCAAATCTAGTAAAATCTTAAGTATAGATTGATAATACTATGTTTTTTTATATATATAATATCTAACTATTTAAAATGATGGTTGTTAAGATATAGAAGTTTAAAAATATGCTCTTTTATACAGGAAGCCCACTCGCTTGTCCGGCCCACTCGCTTACCGTTTACGTTAGATGATACTCACTTCCTTTTGGAAAGAACATACTCTGTACCTAGTATTTTCTGGTATGGACAGTAACCCTGTTAAGCAGGAAGAAGGCACATCATTTCTCCTGTCTTCTGCTCATAATGACCTGCAACTATAATTCTCTAGCTGAATCACTGTACAAACCAGTTTGCAGAAATTTACTGTAATCAGAGATAGGCCTACAATTCCCCATGGCTTGCAGTCCGATATGCGACCTACATGACAGCAACTTATCAGTATTAGCTGTGCTAGTCCACATCGTTCACGTCTGTCCAGGAGATATCACGTGATAACACCACTCGCTCCTTCATTTATGGCTGTTCGTATCGGCCCCCTGCACTCCACCCCAAGAAGAACTTCACCTAGCCTCCTGGCACAAGGTCATGATGCCCATTCATTTACCGCGACATGCAACTGCACAAGCACTACGGGCTGCTAGATTCACGAGTCACTAGAAATTATGCCCACCTCCCTTTTGATACCGAAGCCGCACAGAGGGTGCCATGGCCACCGCTATATGCAGCCCCACAGATATCTGCGAAGTCGATGCTCCGTTATATCTCCTGCCAAAACACCACTACGCACAGCCCTTTTCTTCCCCGGTTTGTGTGCCCTCACCCTTCACTTTATCTTAGCTTCTAACCGCTTCTGCTCACAGGCCATGGGGTTCAGCGCATAGGAATGGCAAATCCATGGCTTGAGATGTTTCCCACAATATCCAACAAAGTCATGAGCGAGGTGGACTCCACCTTGGGTTTCCCATTGTCTCGGTTCATATCCCAGGGCCCTAACTCGGAGCTCAATAAGACGGAAAACTCGCAACCCGCTATCATGGCTACATCGTTGTTGATACTCCGGATACTAGAACACGAGTTCGGCTTCAATGCAGATACGCTAGTAGACGTTACCCTGGGCCACAGCCTGGGCGAGTTCACTGCTCTGGTTGCTGGGGGTTACCTTGATTTTGGGGATGCGCTAAGATTGGTCAGACGGCGTGCAGAGATCATGTCCCAATGCACGAGAAAGGCCTTCGAAACAACAGGAGATGAATATGGCATGGTAGCTCTTGTCTGCGAGCCTGATCATTTCCTGGAATTGCTGGAAGCCATTCACGACTTTATTGGGCTCGCGAAGCCAGCATTGAAAGACGACACTGATCACGGGGCTTCAGCATTCCAGGATGTCATGATTGCAAATATAAACTCTAATAACCAAATCGTACTTAGCGGCAGTATTGCAAAAATCAGGACTCTGATAGTCCAGCTCCGTCAATTTGGAGGCCACGATCCTCGCGCGGTGAAACTAAAATGCGAGAGTCCGTTCCACAACCCTATCATGGCACCAGCTGCTGACTACGTGCGATATGCCCTGGAGAATATTAACATCAGATTTCCCACACATATGCAATTCGTATCAAATGTTTCAGGTCTGCCGACTAGTTCAATAGCGGAGTTGAAGGCTCTGCTCTCTCGGCAATGCGTTGAAACCGTTAGGTGGTGGGATAGCATTCGATATCTAGATCAGGATCACGGTGTGACACGTTGGATTGGAATAGGGCCAGGGAAGGTTGGCAGAAACTTGGTTGGTAAGGAAGTTGGCAAGATCATGGTCAAGGGTGGCGGTGTCTGGTCCATATGCGATCCTCGGGAGCTGGAGGATATTCTAAGTAATTTGGAAAAATCGGGTACCGATCCCGAGTACTAAGTTTTTACACTTGTCATGGCGTAGATATATTGCTGTGGATCTTAACCTTGAGCCATGTACAGCCAATCTCCCTTTCCCTCCGATAGAGAGCAATAAATTGATAATAGGCTAGATCTGGGCGTGGTTAGAACGAGGCCTTCGGTCTTCTATGATGAGAATATCTCAAATGGATATTCTAGTAGCATGCAGGTGCTAGGGAACTTTGGCTTCAAGTCCGCCTTTGCTCTTACCACGACTGAGCGGCACTATCCGAGATCAAATATTTGTTGAACTATGCTACTCACTCCGAGATGACGATCACAATTGCCATGATCTAGCGGGACCTTCCTAGTGTGGAGACATAAATGGTGCCCATGACTCACCAATTCGTGAAATCTCCCTGACAAATCTTTTGTCTGCGACCTGCGGAAAGCTAGACACCTGAGCAGAAGGCTTGACGGTATCAGAGTGCCCAGTCGGGGTATAGAATGGATTCTGCAATAGTTGAACATAAGCGTGCTGAAGAGAACGGAAGACCTATAGCACTGAGTCGTCAGTGGTGTTATGATTGCTGGCTGAGCGATCGCGCTACTGATGCATAACATACCGGCCTAAGGTCAGGCACTTTGAGAATAGTCCTAGATGATGCCCCGAGCCCCTCTGGGCTAACTATTTCGCCGACTAGATCAACTATAACTAGCAGTTTCACTCCTGTCGTGGTGAGCCATCCGTACGCCGCCAAGCTTTCGTCCACGGCGTGCAAAAGGCCGAGATCCTGGTCAATGGACGTTTGTCTGCGCCTTATCTCAACGATATCCAAGCAGGAGTTCACTAGGAAGGAGAACTCGATAGCCGAGTTGCGATATGGAGGGAACAATGCTATATGTATTGGGTTGTCCTAGGCAGCATTAGTATCAGCGCTGCTCCAGGTGCAATGACATACATACGGCTTTACCGATTACACCGATACAGGCGATCTTAGGCATCATAGCGATCACTTTTCACTTTCGCATCTCAAGTGTTCTTGTTTAAATCGAGTTCATAGACCTTCAAGTATGACAAGAACTCAGACGGAGTGGATATTAACGTCCCTAGCTCTTCATAAGTGCACGGCGAAACAGACCCCTACCTTAGTACAGGCTCGACCGTATCGTCACAAAGATATGAACATACCTAAGTCAGATGATGAGGTCGAAGTAGCTCTCACCTCCTCTCAATCAGCCTGATCACAGAAATGGCCTTGAGTGGCGAGAGTTGACTTGGATGGTGAACTACGTAGACTCTGGTAGATGATAAGTCACCCCATGAAATCGGCATCAAGAACTGTACTTGACCCTGATGCCACCGTCTAGGTACCTATTTATGTAATATGTGCATCCGCAGCTCGGCCAATGAATTAGCCCTGAATTAACCTTATGCTATCACGTGACACCACCAAGGTTTGCCTGTGTACAGATTACCCTTTATTACACCTCTCGTTACGTTAGTGGCTCTATCTTTCCACTGATGCATGTATCATTACAGTAATACAGCTAATGGGTAATCCATTGGTACCATCAGCGCAGAACAACCATCCAAACTGACTCTTTCGTCTTGACGTTACTTCAGTCGCCACTGTGATTGATTCTCGAAGGTGTACTTACACCTACCTTACTCTCAGAGTTGCTGCGTGCACAATCCATCCAGGGATTCCGGAAACTTTTACAAGCACACCGCGAGGTCTCGATCACTATGCTTCCTCTCACCGGGCGCGCTGTCTCAGGCGCTTTGCATGGTAGGTCTCTAGTCGATCTTTAACTGGCCATCAATTGACAATCAGGCAGCGCGACCGCTGCCGGCGTCACGTTTCTTCCGACCGCAGAATATGTCACGTCTTTCAACATCAGCTATCAAATCGGCGACAGCTCTCGAACGGCAAGGGCAGCCTGGTCAACATCTCACTGCTTCTGGCAAGGTACGAAAGGAGGTACCATTGCCCAGTCAGGAGAAAAAGGAGGGTGCGATGCAATATGTGCTGTCCGTATATCAGCTATCTTGCCATGTATGGGCTATTAAATAACATTCTACAGGACCACTCTTGACCAAGTTGCCAATTGGGCACGACAGAGCTCACTTTGGCCCATGACGTTTGGGCTTGCTTGCTGCGCCGTGGAGATGATGCATCTTTCGACACCAAGATACGATCAAGATCGCCTGGGAATCATTTTCAGAGCCTCTCCTCGACAATCTGATGTAATGATTGTTGCCGGTACCTTGACAAATAAGATGGCACCCGCTCTTAGACAGGTTTATGATCAAATGCCTGATCCGAGATGGGTTATCAGTATGGGAAGTTGTGCGAACGGTGGAGGATATTACCACTATAGCTACTCTGTCGTTCGTGGGTGCGACAGAATTGTCCCTGTGGATGTTTATGTCCCTGGATGTTCGTTTTGCCTTGCCCACCTTATTATGGTGTCATTCACTAACTTCCAAAAACTATAGGTCCGCCTACATCCGAGGCACTGATGTACGGAATTTTTCAACTCCAAAAGAAGATGAGGCACACCAGGATCACGCGCATGTGGTACCGTCGTTAGTTCCGCAATTTCAAGTCGTGCACTATACTGGGTAAATTTTAGTGGCAGCAGGATCTAATGCACCAGCGTTCTTCTCCCCATAAATAGGTGTTTATGAACTACTCGTCGTCCGCGCAGTCTTGCAAATAACAGTCTATTTCCTTTTTTTTGGTTACATGGCACTCATGTAAAATCTGATTTATGTTGTGTGTGCTTTGCTAGGTGCTTGCTCTCCCATCGATATACGAGTCAGCCGTTCACAACCACGCCCCCATTAGGATGCAAGCACTGTCCCGAAATATAGCTACTATCCGCACTTGCGAGGAAAACAAAACAAGTAGCTATTTCACTGGGCTGCCCTGGGCGACCCATCGGTACGGAGCTGAATTGCTCCATCGCAGTGGTCGTCATAGTGGCAGGGATAAGCGGGGTCCAAACTAAGTATATTCATATTAGTTCACATCCTGTTCGCGTAAGTTAAATCTCTCCGGTCAAACCTTACCTGGCCCTGGACAAACGCAATTAACACGAATGCCATTCTTGAGTTGCTGGTTAGATAGACCTCGCGTGAAGGCAACAATGGCTCCCTTTGTCGATGTATAGTCGAGAAGATCAGGCCGGCCGATGTAAGCATTGACGGATGCGCAATTGATTATGGTTGAGCCGCGCTTCAAGTAGGGGAGAGCGTATTTGCTAAGGTAGTAGAGGGGATGGATGTTGGTATCAAATGTCTTTACCCACTGGCTCCTATTGTGCTCTTGTCAGCTAACAGCGACGTACTGAATACGAAATCGACGGCTCCTCTTATACTGCCGTTGGGAGAACCATCGGGATCCCGAACCTTACGGGCAGAGCATGGAGAGCGTCATCGGATTAAGAGCTTACTTACTCTTCTAGATCCTTGAGGTCCTCGATCATATTCTGTGTCCCGGCGTTGTTCACTAGGATGTCTATGCCACCTAGTTTTTCTAGTGCGGTATCGATCACCTTGCGGCAGTTCTCCCTTTCGCGAAGATCGGTGGCCATGGAGTGACATTCTTGTCCAGCTTCTTGCACCCTTGTTTTTGTTTCTTGTGCGTCTTTTTCCTCTTCGGGTAAATAGACTATCAGGCTTGTCGCTCCTTCCATCGCAAACAATATGGCTATGGCACGTCCGATTCCTGAGTCGCCGCCGGTGATTATAGCGCGTTTGCCAATCAACTTCCCTGCTGCTTTGTAGCTCTGGTAACCTCCATCCTCATTGGGTATGTGGCTGGACGCTGGTTTCGGTTGTTCGAGATCGGCCTGCAAGCCTGGCTTTTTTTGATGTTGAATGGGTATCTCATGACCTGCAGTATAAGTCAGCTTCCCGCCGGAAACAATGGTTGCAATAGCGTCTACCGGGCTTGAACTGGGATGGGCTTCCCCGCGATGAATTCTCGGTGTATTCTTGCATATTGAAGGCGCTTAGATTGGCACGGCCGCTGGATGCTTTAATTGGAAGATCAACAACTCCGCAAAGGTGAGAGTTTTATCTACAACTAATAACGCTTGCGACTAAATTAGATGACTTATGTAGGAGGAAAGAGTTCAGTTTAGCGCATTGCATCTTCGTCAAGGTGACGTTACCATCTCATTTGAAGGTGGCATGGTGGTTGAATGACGTATCACCTCCAGATTGCACTGCTTCGGCCCATCAGAAATGATGTCCAATCATTTTTGCGCTAAGTAGGATGCAGTCAGGGAGCCTGTAAATATGGGAGTATCAAAGTAGCTACTGTGGCCAAATACAAATAAACCCTTGGTTCAACGTAAGAAGGCCTAGAAAGGCCAAGTATTGAAAGGAAAGCAGTATTGACCATCATATTCTCTTTGATCCCACTTATGCTAGGCGTTAATGCGGCAAGCTGATAATGAAGACTTCACATACAGCCAGGTATCATTTAACAGCTGCTTAAAACCCGCTTGACACGAATATTAGGAAATGTAGTTTTATTGAACAGTGCCTCTCTATTGAGGTTGTTTATTGAGGGGCTGTCTTGTACTATCGTCTTCTTCTACCATGGTTTTTCGGGGCTTGGGTCAACAACTAGTATCACAGTAAGTTGTAGGACCCTTGATACCATGTCTATACATATCACCCAACGTAAGTGGTATAGGACATACTGAGTATCAATAGCAACTGCTTAAGGGGATCTACTGAGAGCCTGGCTATAGTTGAGGGTCACCTTGGTGTTTACTGCATGGATTATGGATCCTGGTGGTAGAACATCAAAGCTGAATATGTCCACTATTAAGCTAGAGCCAGTCATTTGGGTGGCGCAAACATTGCACGCAGACTTTTATTTCTCTACAAATCAGAGAATAGGTTCAATTTATAGATTTTTGACTGCTGAATATATAGATGACTGACCAGTATCTATCAACTGTCCTATCTAAAGATCTAATTATAAAAATCTTAGGCTGTTGAAACTCACCGTGTGTACCTCTTAACAATAATAAGCATTATAGACATAAGCATTATAGACATAAGCATTATAGACATAAGCATTATCTTGTATGCAGTAAGTACAAATAGCACAATCCAGAACCCTGGTGCAGTAGTCTTGTCTTGATTAATTTACTTATTGTATAATAATAAGGCAATACAAAACCAAGCAAGTCCAGAACTATGTATTATTACATATCAGGGTGAAATCTGCCCGCTGCTGACTATACTGGGAGATAGTAACTATTAATACAAGTTGACAGTTAATTGCACCCAGATTTATATATTTAGGATATATAAGTCTCTACAGCAAGAATCCTACATCAGAGATTATAATAGGAACTTCAAAGTTTTTAGTAGGTGAATATGGTATAATACAATAAACGTGGATATGTCAAAGATTGATATGATTGATTAGAGGTCATTCACAGACTGGGAGATTCCCAGTTGTAGAGGCCTTTCCAGTTCCAAGAGCTTTAGTATATTTAATTCAAAAAGGCGGTTGCCTTTGAACTGGAAATGCTACAGTTGCAGCAGATGAGTGTAAATAGATTTGATATTATTGATTATGTTGGTTCTTCCTTACATGGAACCGGCGGGAGGTCAAACCACGGAAGAACCGCCAAAGGCGGAAAACAACGGCATAATCGACAACACCGAAATCTCCACAAACCGAACAACCAAACCGCTACAGGAAAGAGGTTTTTAGTAACCAAAAAAGCCTTTCCAGTTCTATATACAGTTAGTATACTCTACTGTAATAATATTTGTTAGTATAAGATAGATTAGGCTATATTTAGAAGATAGACGGTTTAAATCCGACTGTTGCTGTATTTAATAATACCAGCAGAATTTAATTTGGAAAGGGCCCTACAACTGGGAACTTCCCAGTCTGCAAATGACCTCTATTGTGTGGAAAACAGGATAACTGAGGAAGTCCAGAAGACCGAAGGATACCTGTAGGCGGTGTGGAAGGCGGCCAGCCGAAAGAAACAACAACCACAAAAAACACCTCAGTGAAGGTATTGCTATTTAGATTTTATAAAAAAAGATCCTTTCCTTCTTTTTATATCAGGATTAGTAGAGCCTATAATGATACTAGATATTACTATTCTATATCAGTCTATGATTGTAAGAAATAAAAGATGTAGAGCTAAAGTTACTATCTATTTTCTATAATTTTGCTGCAGTAGTATTGGAAATGTAGTTGATATTAATAGAAATTATCTAAATTTATAACTCTAAAGGTATGTTATCTGTACTTTTTATAATTAGAAATATAGTATCCCTATTAACATCTACTACAGTGGAAAGGTGTATTAGATTTTATATATAAAGATATATGGTAACCTGCTCACCTCTACCAGTAGACTATCTAATACCCTAATAATCCTAACTAAAAGAATAAAAAGAGACTCTCTAAGAAACAACCCTAATAGCAATGTCTTCAACCCCAGAAGGACCCTAATAATCCCAATGTAAAAAGATTGCTATTAACTTGGATTTAGAGCCCTACTGATTTCTATATACAATCTCACATACAAAAACAATACACAAGAAGGCAAAAAGATTCCACTATCTACTTAGAAAGGTTTAGATAACAAACCTCTAAATCTACATGTACATTGTGCTTTAGTCTACTTGTATTATTGCTGTAATACATGATCCCAGTTATACACGGAAGATGACGGCCCGTGCGTTTTGCACTTTTACACTTTTTTTCTCCGCCGCGTACATTCGTCCACAAAGCAGTCTACTTACTACCAGCGCAGCTGTCCATTCAAAATCCTTTGGTCATTTTCAAAATTTTCAAACATCGACTTAATTACACACCGGACATTAGTGATGCCCATTTCACACCATGGTATGCAAAACCGTTCAGCCTTCTAAGTTGACTCGCAATGAGTCGGCGTGTTGCGATCTGGCTGCCTTGCCTCTAGAGTCGGCGCTCAAGGCTCCCTGGACTTTCCTCCAACCCACGGTAGATCTTAACAACACCGCACAAGCTTCAGCCTCCCTTTATCTGGATCCTCTGGCACTCTCGGTCAGCAACTCCCAATGTGCCCGGCAGCGCCGAGATAGGAAGAGGAAACGGGCCGGTAATGATCAGAGCGTCGCAGGCCATGCCCTGCAGTTGCGGCAATTATACGTGAAGGGGTTTACTCATGATCAAGTGTGGCAACAGGCCGCTCGAATCTTCGATTCCACCTTCAGTGAAATTGAGCGTGATCGCATATGCTATCTCGAGGCCGCAGAACAACGCTCTGCCGAATGGAAAATTCCACCAGTACTAATCTCCAATTCTGCATCTCAAGATGCTTTTTCGGACTCTATTGACTCCGTCGACCAGTCGCAAAGTGACAGAGGTGACTTGAGTAGAGACGACACTGGCTCGGCGACCGCGACTTCTCATTCGCCTTCAAACTATGGCTCCGAGGTCGGAGGAACGGAATATGGACAGCCAGGCGATGAATCTATGCTACGCGAAAGCCAGGATGATCAGAGCAACGGAGGGTTCTATGTCGAAGATACCTTTGGCTTAAATGACGGTTTTTTCTCTATTGACGAATTCAACAAGCAATCCGAACAACTCGAAAGACAAGATGCCAGGGGCGAACCTCATGACGGTGCGGATAGTGACGAAGAAGAAATTGACTGGCATACAAATCCGTTTGACTTCACCGATCCTGCGTTGGACCGGAAGAGAAGCTCGGCAACAGCAGCGCCTACCAATGACGGAAATGATAGCATGGACGACAGCGAAGATGACGGGCCGACTTTTGATAATATGGATGTTCATGGTGATTCAGATTCGGAGGACGACGAAATACATGTTGCTCCAGGAGCGACAAGTTGGGTCAACACCAGCGACATCAAATATGATGATTTCTTTGCGCCACCTCCAAGGAAAGCTTCAAAGAAGAAGTCGCGTTCACTTCCTAAAACGCAGCCAATCGATAATGTTTCCGATGGTGATATTGACCGAGCCATGGCCGATGTTCGCCGAGATCTTTTTGAGGATGAAATCTCAGAAGACGACGGGGACGTTTCTGGGGACGATCGCCTATCGCAAAGCCACTATTCTAGCCACGAAAAGCAACGTGCCCGAATCGCCGATGAGATCCGCCGCTTGGAGGCAGCCAATGTCGCTAAGAAGGAGTGGATGGTCAGTGGTGAAGCTCGAGCGATCGAAAGACCTGTCAATTCCCTCATCGAAGAGGACCTTGACTTCGAGCGCATAGGCAAGCCTGTCCCCGTTGTCACAGCTGAGTTGACAAGTAGTATTGAGGACTTGATCAAGCAGCGAATCCTTGCGAAACAATTTGATGAATTAATACGCCGCCGTCATGGACTTATTGAAAAGACGCCTGCAGAACGATCGAGGCTCGAGCCTGAGGATACTAAACCACAACAGAGTCTCGCTGAACTTTACGAGTCTGATCATCTACGATCGACCGATCCTAACTATGTCGACCCCAAGAACCAGAAATTGTTGCGGGAGCAAGCTAATGTTACCACCCTTTGGGAGAACATAAGCTCTCAGTTGGATACACTCTCTAATTGGCATTACAAGCCAAAGGCCCCACACGCAACCATCAGCGTGGTTACTGATGTGGCGACTATCACCATGGAAGACGCTCAGCCGACAACCAGCAATGCGGTCAATGGGCCGGTAGCACTTGCTCCACAGGAGATTTATGCCCCTGGAGATGATGGCAGAGTGTCCGGAGAGGTGAATTTGAGAAACGGGGTATCAATCGCTAGGGAAGAGATGAACCGTGAACAGAAGGCCAGATTGAGGCGTCAGCGCAAAAAGCAGAATCACGCCTCGACACCAAGCAAGCAACAATCTGGGAAAGTGGCAGAGGCCCAGAAACTCATGTCCGATCTCAAGAGGGGTGGAGTCAAGATTATCGGGAAACAAGGTGAAGTTACCGATATTCAAGGCAATAAAATTGGGGAAAGTGCGAAGGACAAAAGCTATGGATTGAAATTGTAGTATATGCTCGGGACAGTGGTCTATCAACTTTGGAGGGTTGAGGCAGTGGCCAATTGACATATGTTTTTCCAAATTCAGACTAATATGCAGTTCTAGTCCGCTGCTAAGCTTTGTATAGTTCTTTGACTAGATTTCGGGCGCATGGCGTAGAGGAAGATGTTCTCTCTCCGGTATGTTTGCGCATCAGGGTCATCTTGAATTTCATCAATAATGAACAGCTTTTTCGCCATCTTCATGAACCGGAGATCAGCGCGTCTACGTTTTCTGAAGCAGAAATAACATATTGACTCGGGACCAAGCAGATCTTTCAGGGTCGATATCAGTAAAGGAAATGCTGGTTCGAAGTAAACGCAATCGGCGGCAAGTATAATCGTAGGCTTTTGTGGAATGGAGTCGGGGATTGGCTCCCCCCAGTTTAATATATTGGCTGTAACAAGGTCCGAAAGATTGTTAAGCTTGATATTTGTTTCCATCAAGGATAACATCGGCGCTTGATCTGTGATGAACACAGGCGAGGGACCGATTTGACAACCCCGTGCAATTGCCAGCCCAACCAAGCCGCCACCAGAGCCCAGCTCAATACTAGCGAAGAATCAGCAATGCTCTGTCCGACTGACTGCACAGGATAGGAAACGAGGCAGGCAACAAGGGTCAAGTTCAGAAGGTGACAAACATTGATTTATTGGCAAGACTAAAGCGATGCTGACGTAACAAATACTTGGCAAGAACCATGCCGGCTGGCCATAGTTGGCCTCCACAGCCCTCTTTGAGATCTTCCTGGAGGAGGAGAGGCGTCGCCAGTAGGCCATCAAAATCTACATTGCTTTGGCTGGCTTGTTTGATGTCCCTAACGGGGACCAGAGATTCATCAACATCAATCGCATCGGTCAGATCGACTGGGCTGATCTCAATCTCATTCATGTTCTCCAAGGGCGATAAAAATATCTGATGGACCGGAATAGGAAGAATCTTTAGTAAATGATCGACAAAGACGAGGGGCGGTGGAAGTAATATATACAGAGAAATGCGAAACAAAAAGAATAACAATCAAATGAGTATTTGCACTATTGATAAAGAGGTGCTTCCATCAGAGGACCTCAGAGGCTCGGCTGAAAAGAAAAAAACTGCTGGAAAAAAAGCAAACAAGAAGATAACAAGTAGATACGTATCATGGATCTGTGAAAAAAAAAGGTCCATTAGTGTCGAGCCTCTTCCGCTTATTGGTCCTTTCATGAGCTTCCTGGTATTGTTAGCCGATCGCGACAATTGGGTTTAGTTTATGTCAAGCGCATATGTTCGTAGCCTGGGTCAGTGGGTAGGTTGCTAGTTGGTAGGCAGACTAGGCAGACTCTGGAATATGGGGTATGTACTGTACTAGATACGTACTGTGCTCCTGAATAAAATTGCTATAAAATTATAACATGCTTGTTTCCAGGGCCGCGAACGAGCTGTTTGAATTCTAAACTCCTTAGTGGCACTATCATGCTGAAATGCGAGGATGCTATGCTCCATCACTGCATTAGCGGCAGTAGTCCATCTACTGTACTGTAAAACCTCGTTATAACGATATGATTGGTGAGGCCCCTTGGATTCGTTATATGGCAGATATCGCTGTATTGAAAAAGTAAAAACTGTATTGAAACAATTCTACACATGACATTTCTCATGTAATATGCTCATGATACTCGAGATTTTTCTTGTTTATTACCCTTTTAGATAATTTTTAACCTCCTTTTATATACTTTTGTATGGGTAGGTAAATAACGATTCCGATTATCGCTATGAAGCGACACAGCGATTTTTGTATAATAGAACTAATTTTGATATTCGGCACTATTGTTGTAGGTCGAAAATCGTTATAATGCGTATCGTTACAACGACGTTTTACAGTACAATGGAGATTAGGGCATGTGCCCCTCGAACTTGGAAGGCTTTCTCCTTGCTACCTTTGGTTGGCCAACATATAGTCACGTGTGGGCGACAGAATTGAATGGCAGTGTCCAGCTAGCCTCAACGCCATCCAGAAAACCTCAACCGATCCATAGCAACTATCAGCTCAGTCTAGTGACTACTAGGTAGTAGTCAATCATGGATGCTGTAGTTACGTGCCCGCAGTACCCAATACCACCATGTCAAACTACTCCAGCTCTGTCGAGTAGAACACGAGATGACGTCACAATAGAAAAATGGCCGCTCAGTTACCTACCTACTTGAGTAGCTACGGAGGGTACTACCTAGTAGTTTTATCCACTATGCCCAAGGTGGTGCTAACCTATCATCTCTGACCAGGTTCCATCCCTCTCATAAGTGTCTTTTGCTCATGACGACGTCACTGCTCACTTCGTCACTGGTCTCTTACCAGAATGACGGCAACGGCATGTGACCCCTTCGGATCTGGGGAGCTTCATAAAGCGACGTTATCCCCTTTATTCTATCATTGTCAAATCAATTACCATCAGCATCAAAGACTACAGATACTCGTTCTCTGAAGACGATCCCGAAGCGCACCACAGCCAGCGAAATGACGACCCTCAATTGTGAGTGTTTTCCTTGAGGTTATACCCCATCCCATTCCACCCTGGCAACTTCACAAAGACTTATTGCTCGAGCCTTATTCTAACCTAGAACCATTAGACTTGCCATCCGTGAAGCCGTCCGCAATCGCAGTCGGCGCGATCTTCACGCACACTGCCTCACTAGGCATTCTCGCCCCAGTCTTTGGCGATACTTACCATCGTGCCCAAGCTGCCAATTCAAAGGAAGAGTTCTTCAAGTCTAAGGAGGCTGCTGGTGCTGCAGCGGCCTGGGGTAGCTCTCTGTTTGGCAGTGCTGTACAGACCTACGGCGTGGCGGCATTGATCAATGCAACGGGGACCCTTAGTTATAAGGGTGCAGCCTATCTGGGAAGTTTGATCTTTATGGCCAGTGCAGCTCCAAGTGTAAGTCTATTGATGACATCGCATGCTACGACTTTGGTCTAATTGATTGTGATCGTTCCAGGTCATCAGCCAGATCTTCACAGAGAAACGCCCCCTCGACACAGTGGCAGTGGGCGCTGTCGGCAGGGTCTTTGAGACCGTAGGACTCAGTCTATTCCTTACCTGGTGGGGCACGCGTACCAACCCTTTCGCGTGAGGAATAAATGGGGATGAGACTCAGTACCACATTTGATTCTTGTGTCTTTGCGTTATGTGCAGTTGAATAAGATACGATATTGTTCTAGCTTCAAGAATAATCAAATTTCCGTAATCATCAAATTGGCTTGGCGAAACCGACTTTTCTGGAACTTGTAATCGTTGGTAAATTGTTTTCGAAGCGTTAGAAAAGCCCAGGGTAATGTTTGATGACCTGGGCAAACAAGGCAACGATATTATGTTACCCTAGTTCCGAATCGTGACCTGATTTTAACCGAGGATCTCGACCGATTCGAACGGCATTGGGGGCAATTATCTGAACCTGAAGCTACAGTTCGGAGAGCCACTTGCTCCGTGCAGCAAGTAGCTAACGGTTCGAAGTTCAGCTACCTGTGGCCCCCGAGCGCGCTTTCTCATATACACTCCAAGTTACGCAAATATTGAAATATCCAACACGCGACCTTGCTCACATCACTGGGTTACATCCGTTACAACTGTTGACTTGAAGTTGTATGAGGAAGCCCGAAGGCGTAAATGGAGACAGACGCTGATAAATAGTGATTGCATGTCTACTTCTGTATAATCAAACAAAAGTGCGACAGGGATACCTTGCAGAGTGTCAGTGATTATTATTAATATAGAGTGAGATAGAACTTACACGCCAGGATAGCCATGTTGATGATCCAGCTGATATTTGGAAGCCGAAGAATTCAAGCTGCAAGGCAAGGGTGGCAAACCATTTGCATTCAAGACACCTCTAGCCCCCTCCTTGTCTTTCCCGAAAAGCCCGGCAAGGCCACGCTCCTCTCCCTGTTGCTTGACCAATACCAACTGTCTTTCACCTGCTTCACCAAGCTCCAGAACTTCCTTTGGTGCTGCCTCACTGCCTACGGTAAGAAGACCAACAACGTCGGCCTGATTCACCGTACTGAGTCTAGGATAGTTTCTCCGAGCATCGCGCTTCCAGTAAGGGTTATCGGCGATGTCACCCGCTGGAACTGTGATAGGGTCGTCATAGGACAGAGGTGGAAGAGATCCTGGAGCCGGCAGGCGGAATTGGGAGTTCAATGGAACGCCAGTAGAGCGACTAGGATCAATGGACAGAAGGCGACGGATACGCTCCCATACGCCAGTCGACTGAACAGTGTATTTCTGAGTAACGCATTAGTGTATATAGAAGTGTATAGTCATTCTTTGACGACCAACCTTGTGAACAGCTATCACATTTGATGCCGACTTGGCCGCTTTAACTATGTCGCGAGCCATGGTGGTTTCTATTGATTATGAGTATGTGAAACTTCAATTAAGTAAAGTCTTCACTGCAAGATGCTGAGACACAGCGCAGCACATGGTCTTTCATACCTCACCTTTTGAGATCTATATTTCCGCAAAGAGTCGTCCCTCTGGGATCGCTGGCTCGCTGTCAGTAGCAATCGAACTGTCCGGCGGAGGCCTTCCCGGGAGGTCGAGTCGTGCGGAACAACAGTATTTCCGAGAGCAACGGATGAATAGCATTGATCTAATTGTAAGCATACCTTGCATCCCGAACCAACTGAAGCTAATTTCTTGGAACAACACTCGAGGAGTCGAGGGGTCCTTGGTTCACAACATTCGGGATCATTATGACTTCCATTTCTGTGATCACACATCTATTCTCCCGTCCAAGCATGATCAAAGCTTCTTTATGCAGTAATTTCAACCTCCCAACTCTGGTCAGTAGCCGGTGAGGAATGGAGTACCAATAGGCTTGTCTAGGGACAAGTACTTTTACGTCTACCAAGGAATATCGCGTGAATACTCCACATCAATTGCCGGCCAATCATCACTTGTTGGAATTGTGTAATACATTCATATCTATCTCCTTCCATTGTGGCAGATCTGCGAGAGAATATGCAGCTCTAAGGACTTTCCCGTTTCTCCTCCTTCGAGGCAATAACGACTTGTCGCGCAGCCTCGACTGTTGCATCGGGACCACCCCTTTGATGTAGGAGAACTTCACCCAGCTTGTTTACAGCGAAGACCCCCCTTGTTGTTCCTTTTGGCGTTTTCTTGAATCCAAGAGCAGCTATAAGTGTATAGGAGGAATTGCACAGGAGAGGAAAAGGCAACTTCTGCTTAGACTTGAAAGTGGTGTTTGCTTTGGGCGAATCCGCTGAAAGACCGTATACTGACATCCCACTTGAAGTTAGGGATTCATAATTGTCACGGAAAAGACAGGCTTGCTTGGTACCTAGGGCAGAGTGAGTCCATAGGAAGAGCTAGTGTGTCATGTCGAGGTAACCAAAAAGCAGAAATAAAACAGAATGACGAAGATAGATGGTACAGTGCATGGATGCATCATGTATGGATTGGGGCAAGCCAAAGGAGCTGGCTGAGAGAACAGAATTGGGTCTCAGTTAAACCTACATCCAGGGGTAGACGCTCTGGGATATGTGAATAACACAACACCGGACTTGCTACTGTCGACGAGATCCTTCAATCTGAGTTTCGTCCCATCATGGTTTTCAAATTCACCACCAAATTGGTTCAAATCGAGGGTCTCTCCAACTTTCGGCGATCCATGGCGGGCATCGCTAGACGCGTCGGCAAGAGAGCCGCCAGCCTTGACTTTTTTAGGCCCTCTCTTCGAGGCTGGGTCGAGATCGAGGATGCGCTTGCTCTTTTGTTCTGTTTCGAGGGGTTGTGTTGTCGCTTTACGCTTCCTCAACTCGACCATTGCGACACTGTGACTTCTTAATAATGTAAATACTGTAAATGTGATGGCGCAAATGAACAAAAATGAGTTGAAATACTTTGAAGGCAGTAGTCTGAGGTTGCAGTTGCACTCTCGCACAAGACAGTAATCAAGCGGTAGGTGAGACTTCGCCGGGCTTTCATCCTTGTCCTTGAGTGCCGTCACTTCGCTAACCCCTACCGGGTAGGTATAGTCAGCCCCAATAAGTAGTCAACAATCATGTTTTCAGAAGTTATTATGACCCGGACAGGTGATAATATAACTATAAATATCAGAATACAGGTTCTTGCAATGCCACAATCTTGCTCTGTACTGTAGTCGAAGAAGTTTCCAGCATATACAGCTTAATCAGAAAGGCATCACGTTAAGAGATCGGTCTTGTGAATCGATATTGTAGAGACTCTACCCCAGGTTTGCTGAAGATAAGAATCATATTTGAAGTAGAATACTTGCTTATCTTAACGCAAACCAGGATTTTCTTGGGCTGTAACCCCTGCTTCGGCCTGTGGTCTTATCATATTTATTTTTGATTAAACCTATTATCATACGCTCTTTGTGTTATGCTTAAGGGGTGCTTAATCTGATGGGGAAGTGTAGCTAGTCGCAAATACCGATAAAGAATAAGCTATATTGTGTGTTTATAGTCCCTTTATCAATAGTTGAGCTAGCACCAGCAGTTCCTGCTCGAACACTTGTGGCACATAGAAGCTACTCAGTAATATGTAGGTGCTGTCCTCGTAGAGGGCCCTGTTGAAGAAATCTGCTGCAAGCTGGGCTTTATGAGAATAGCTTCGACGGGGTCTTGAAGCCAATATGAACCTATGCTAAATAGGCGATACTCGTATAACTAACTATCTAAATCCGAATGACTAAAGCTATTCCAGACGAAGGAATGGTTGTCAGCGTTGCCAAGTAATCCGGCCACGTGATTTCAAAGGCCTTTTGTTCTTGTTCACATGCGGGAACGTAGCTAGTTCAAACAACCAAGTATGTACCTCGCCAGGTCGCCAGATGGGGCTTTTTGGTTTTAGCTACCAGTCCTTTCTAATAAGAAACCAGTTAGTTTCCAAGAAAACTTATATTACAAAATATACTGTAAATTATACAACCTTACTAGGTAGTAAATCTGGTAAGATTTATATATTACTAAAAGCTATACTAAAAATTTTTAGTATCACTAGTAACTTCTAAAAGCTACTTATCTAATAAACTTAAATATGTCAAGAAGCGGGCTGGCGTCTGGTTCTTAGTCTGGCTGGGTGGTAGGAATAACAGCACTGGCTGGGAGAATCTTTATAATAGTCTTTCTGGATTTTTTACTAGCTATTAGATTAGGCTATTCTTAGGTTTATAGACAAGATATAGCTCGAAAAGCTATAAGTAGAATTAGAAATAGACAGAAAATTAAGAAGTTCTATATATTATATATAGAATAGTTAGAAGAAGTAGTAAGATTATTAAAATTAAAAGATAAAATAGATATATTAGATTTATATTATAATAGTATATTTTTTTTAAAGCTAAGTTTTATTGAAATATAGATTATAGCTTATTAAAATTGCAGTAGTAAAAGTTCTTAACTATTTAATAAATATTTTTTATATATTAGACTAATTTAAAAATTAGATTTAAATATTTAATTTATTTTATAATATATATTAGTCGGAAGCATCTGTATTTTTTATAATTTTATATAAAATTAAAAATATTTTTAATCTTCTATTTTTTTAAACTATTAACTTCTATATATAGTAGTAGAAGTTGGTGTTAGTCTAAAACTAGTTTTTTATTAATAAAAATAAATAAACTAATATTAAATATAAAATATATTTTTATATTAGAGAATAAAACTAGTTAATAAATATATAAATTAATAACTTTTTTAATTTTATATAATTTTAGAATATTCTAGTCGAGTTTTTTATTAGATCTTAGTATTTTAATATTATAAATATCTAACTATATTTCTTAATTTTTTTTAAATTATTTTACTAATTTATATTATTTGTTTATTTATTTTATATAATAGATTTAAGTAGTAGATATTTTTATTTTAATAAATTTAATAATAGCTTATATTTTTATAATAAACTAGTCTGCATCTCTAACAACTAAATTATTTAAAATAATAATAGATTTAAAATTTATATAAAAATAAAATCTATAATTTATAAAAAATAGAATAGTTTTAATAATATTAGAGTAAATTATATTTAGTATAAATTTAGCTAAAAAAAGCTACTAGCTTTAATTATTTTATAAATAATTTATATAAACTTAAAGATATTATTTAAATATTATATTAATTTTTTTAGTCTGGCCGTCGGTCTCTAAGTAGTATATTATAAAGAATTTACTAATAATATTAAATTATTAAATTAGATATTTCTAAAATTTAAAAATAAATTAGGATTTTTAATCTAAAAAAATAAATTAGAATAGATTATATAATTTTATATATATTAAATATATATTATTATAACAGTAGTAGTATTAGTAGTTAAATTATAAAAATTTAAATATTTTATTTTTATTAAATAATTAATAATTATTAAAATAATATTATAGTTTTAGCTTTTAAATAAATATATAATAAAGTTTATAAATATATCTTACTTTATTTATTTAGATATTAATAAAAGTTTTAGAATTTTTTATTTTATTTTTTTAGATAAGATTATTTTTTAATAAATATAATAATTTTTTATTTATTATTTTATATATTAGTAGATATTAGATTAGTAGTATTCTCGGACTAAAAGTTTATATATATAAATTTTTTTAAAATATTTAAAAATAGGTTTATTATAGACTAGTCTGATTAGATTAGCTTTAATCTATTTATTATTAGATATTTATAATTAATTTTTATAGAATAAAAAGCTTTTTTTTATATAATATTAGTAATATATTTAAATAACAGTTTTTATCAGTAGTTAAGACTTTTAGTATTTTTTTAATCTACTTATTTTTTTTATATATAATATAGAAAGATTTTTATATTTCGGATAAGAGTTATAAATCTTATTTATTTTTAAATATTATATTTTTTTAAATATATAGAATAAATACTAACTTTATTTTTAATATATTTTTTATATTTTTTTTAGAATTATTTCTTTTTTTTATTATTTTTATTTTTTAATAGGGTCGGGGGTGGTATTAGCAGATAGATAAAATTAATATTTTTTTATTTTAAAACTATTTAATTTTAATATAATAGATATTTTTTTTTAGAAAATCATCTAATCTTCTAGTTAGACTATCGGATTTAATTTTATATTTTCCGAGTTTATAGATAATTTTAAAGTTAAAGTATAATAGAATTTTGGATTATTAGATTTATTAATAATTAAAAAGCTTAATAGATATAAAATATCTTAGATTATAATAATTAATGATTAATTTAAATTAGAAATAATATTTCTTCTAACTTAAAATACTATTTTTTAAAGTAGTAGATAATAATAAGTAGTTTCTTATTATAAATCTTATAATTATATTTAGTAAAAGTATATTTTTTAAAAAAATATATAATAAAATATAATATTTTATTATTACTATACTACAATAAAATATTTTTTAATATATAATTAGAAGTATTAGTTTTTAGAATAATATTATAAGTTTAGTTAAATAATTAGAAAACTAGTATTTTAATAAAAAAGTTTTTAAGCTTATTAAATATTTTTTAGTAATTTATAATTTATATAAATAAAACTTTTTTTTTATTAAATATATAAATAGGGCGGCTAGTTTCAAAAAATTATAAATAAATTAGTAGTAAAAGTTGCTAAAATCTAGAAAAATCTATATATTAGTTATATAGATTAAAATAAACTATTTAGTTATAGTTTTAATCTTTTTTAGATTTATATAAAACTTTTTATAGTTTATAATCAGACTTAGAAACTTGGTTTCGGATATAATAAACTTATATTTAAATAACTTAGTATAAAGTTCTATTTTTTTAATTTTTATAAAATATAATAAATATATTTAAAATATTCTTCGCGGATGCGGTTATAAATTAAAATATTATTTAAATAAATAGTATAAAATATATTAAGATAATTTCTTAGAATATTATTAATATATTATTAGAATATAACAGAGGCTTTAATTAATCTAAATAATATTATAAATATTTTATATAATTTTAAATAGATTTAGAATATTATAAGATATTCTTAATTTTTTTTAATTCTAATATTATTAAATATACTAATAATATTAATCTTTATAAAGTATTTTATTTTTTTTAGATTATTTAAAATTTTTTTTATAAATAAAAGTAGATATCTATTTTTTATAGAAATAGTATTTAAAGTATAGTAGTCGATATAAAATCTTAAGTTTTTTTTAGATTTTTTTATAAATAATATTAAAGAAGTAACTAGTAATAAACTAGAATAAATAAAAAATTTTTTAAATTTTTTAAAAGTTATTTTTTTAAAGCTTATAATATATTTTAAAATATTCTATATAAAGAATTAAATAGTAGGTTTTTTTATTTTTTAGAATAATAATATAATTATATTTTTAGTATAATAGTAGCTTCTCGGCTTTTTTAAAAAAGAAGATATTTTTAAAATTTTTAAATTCTTTAAATAAAATTAGTTTTTTTAGTTTATTAATAAATTTTAAGATTTTATTAATCTAATTTATTATTATTATAAATATCAGATAATTATAGTATATATAGACAGTATATACAGCTAATAAAACTAAATAAATATTTTTTTATTAAGATTTTTAAAAATATAATATTTTTATAATAGGTTTTTACTAGTATATTATATAATATTTTAATTTTTAAAAATTTTAATAAAATATTATAATAATTCTAATAATACTAGCTGATAAATTAAACTATATATATAGATTAACTAGTATAAAAGTTATAGATTTTTAGCTATAAAAAATTAAAAATAATTAAATAATAAATAAAATAAATAATTAGAAAAAATATTTTTTTCAATATAATTATAGATTTTTAGAATTATATAAATATAATAAATAATATAATCTAACTTTTTTTATTAACTATTAAATCTTATAATTATTTTATAAATCTTTAAAAAATATAATAATAACTAGTAGACT